GGGGGGGGGGGGGGGGGGGGAGAATTAGGCATCAGTTACGCCTGTTATCTGAAAAATAACGAATGCAAAAGTACAAATACAGAATCTGTGGGTTCCACAACCTCTGAAACTGGTTGACAATGTATACTTCTTTGTTGCTTTTCATACTAAGACCCGCCGACGTCATTTGAAACGGCCAAAAATTTAGCCACATGCCATTGCCCAAACTTCAAACTCACCTGTAATAACAGGTTTCATGGAAACGCTCATTTAACTTCCATAATAGTTTAGAGCATTTTCACATTATATTGCAAGTGAGTTTTCCTTCGGAAATATTATCTTTAATTTAATTTTGTCGTTTGTTTGCGCTCAATGAGATGAGTTGTTCCGGCATGTCCTGTATTATGTCATTCGCATGTATGATAGCTCGGTTTGGACTTAGTAAAGTACCCATTAGTTAAAAATGTGTTTACACACTTTATGATAATTTGGATAATTTTCCATGCGCAGTGCAGTGCAGTGCGATGAGGTTGATACACTCAGGCCTAGTTTATACGTCGAATTTCAGTCGAATTTAATTCGTCGAATTTAATGTGACAATTATGCGACGGAAATTCAACCGAAGTGTTTCGTGCAGTTTAGACGTCCAATTTTGGTTGGAAAATCAAAACATATGGGTGTTGCAGGCTTTAAGATGGACAGATGAAGGCCTATATAATAAATATGGCGGCGTTCACCAAAGCAATTATCTTGAAACAAATCCTGAAAATTAGAAGAGAAAGGCGTCAGAAGCAATATTAATTGTAAATTTTGTACTTGGTAATTAAATAGAAAAAGGAAGATTATTCGGCTATGCTTGGCACTGCTTTCCAATTTGTGTGAAGCGAAAATGCCCCGAATTCGTTCATGCCGTCGACTTGAAAAATCAGTACAGTGGAGTTATTGGTTGGAGTTGGACTGGCCGTGGTCACACTATTCTGAAAAGCGTTTAAGGAATACTTTTCGCGTGTCACGACAAATCTTCCCAACCATTCTTCACAAGATTGGAAACCAGTTGGAGAAAAAATTAAAACAGAGGTGCCAGTTTCTTCTTTTGTTTCTTTTTGCCAGTTTCTTTTTTTCTGTCAGTTTTTTTCCTCTTAGAGTTCATAAAATTGTCATTGAGGTTTGTGAAGTAATCGTTTACACATTTATGGCAGGATTATGTGTCTAGTTATTTTCCAATTGACGGAAGAAAATACATCATGAAAGAGAAAATCATTGATATGGAAGATATTTCGAGACAGTAATTGTTGCAGTAAGCAACGCTTACATTTGGAATCCATCCCTCAATTTCTTCGTCTGTTATAGCCATATAACATGATGTACGGTTGGAAGCGTACGTTTTACATGTAATACAACCGCCAAGATATTTAGTGGATCTTTCGCAATTAGAACACGGACATGTCTGTCCGCCGTGTTGAAAATCACACTTCGCGGAGTCCAGAAAGTGTGTTGTTATTGATTTTAGGGTACAGTGGTGGATAACAATCTAATTTAAATCATTTATTCATTTTATTAAATGCGACGGAAATTCGACGTATAAATCAGTGTCGCGTTTCGGTCGCATTACACGACTGATCATGTCGCAAAATTCGACAGCGTCGCATCTAATGCATCCCGTCGGATTTAATCAATTTATACGTCGAATTTTCGTCGGATATCATGACTCGACTGAAATTCGACGCATTAAATTCGACTGAAATTCGACGTTTAAACTAGGCCTCAGATCCATTCGACAAATGGAATGTACATATAAACTAGGCCTCAGATCGATTCGACAAATGGAGTGTCCAATGACCTTTTGATTTTTCCATCGGACATCTTGTATGGGTATTGGACATGTATGTCAGTGCTAGACTGAAAAATAGTCATATCATTTGAACACTTTCTTACATTAATGACAAATATTGATAGCCGTGGCTGACACGAGAAAAGAGTGCATGCATGGGTTAATGACATAATAAAACTGGGAAAGAAATATTTGCCGGATCTTCGCTTCCACATCAATCGTACCAAATGCCTTGTAATTTAGCCAAAGTCGTGGCAATTAATCAGTTCATGAACTATATAAGTCGAATCAGCTAACGTGAAATCTAACGTGATATATTGCAGTATTTTATAAATGTTTTTTTTATACATTCTGCAGTTAATTGTGGCTTCCATGTAGGCCCTATGGGATAGGCCTATATTATGCTAACTGGAATTTTGCCCTTTCTTAATTGCACAGCTGATGCTGAGTTGTTCCTGTTCTTTAATCTTGTCCTTTATATTATTTAATGTTACATGTTTGAAACGATGTAGGCTAACAGCTAATCAGAGCCAAATCCCATTAAGAACAATGAATGTTTTCTTTCATTTATCCCTAGTATTAAATACTTTCAGGAATTATTATAATACAGCTTTAGGGTTTACATCAATTTGCTCGGCACTTCTTTCAGTTCTTACTTCCTTTGTTTGGTGTTGTCTTAGAAAGAACACAATGCCTATACATTGTTTGAATTTAATCTGAATAGACTGAAATCGATCCAATTAAAACGATGGTTTAAATAAATAAAATGACAAACAAATCTAACAGACGCAGCTCATCGGTAGGCTATATGAACTGACAGAGCGATGAAAAGCGATTCAAAATCTATCTGAAACAACCGATTTGTTTGTAAAAATTTACACTAAAAATTTAGTGAGCTATACAACTTATAGCTTATAGTTAATGTTTGTGATTGGAGGCCCTTGCTGAAGTAAATGTTAGGCTTCAAATTGCAAGGCTAAAAATCAGTAAATTAAATTATAATATATATTAAAACGAAAAATCGTCATCAAGCGAAATTATCAATGACCTTGGCCTGTAAATTCTACATCAACTTCCGCAACGTTTCATTTACTTCATTAAATATTCAACTGGTTTCAGCATTTAGCTTGCACATGAGTTACATAATCACCTTAACTGTGCTTAGCATATCACTCAGCATTCGACATTCGTCAAGCAAACATATCGTTTCAGTGTTTGAAAAACTCGAGGTTTACATCAAGCAAAGTAGAAGATGTTAAAAGTCATTGTTTCTCTTCTCCTCACTCTCGCCATCAATGCGAAAGGTAAAGTAAACGTTGCAGTTCTTTCAAAGACATAAGTTCCTGCTGGATGTTTGATTAATTTTGTAATTAACTTTATAGCTATCTAAATTGAGGCTCCCAAACCATTTTCCACGACCAAATTTTGCTACATGCTCAAATAAATTAGATCAACGATGAACAAAACCGGATCATGAAGCTGATCGTTTAGACTCCAAGACAGTGTAACATTGAAACATAAATGCGCTTAGCGTGCTGCCCTTTACCACTTGTAAAACGTCAATTCATTCATGTTATACATAGAAGGAACAAACTGAGAAGGACTAAAAGCTCAGGAGATAACAATACCATGGGTTTAGTACAACATAAGTTTTGGGACTCTCAAAATGTTTTATAGTAATTTTTTTAGTTGAAGAGCGAGGTTTCCTTCGGCACGTCCAAACTTTCGTCATTTTTTCAAAATACAAAAGCAAAACTCCTCACTTTTTGCTGCTGAGTGATTTGAAACATTCGGAACTAATCGGAAATTGACCAGGTTGGTATCCCAATCATTGTAGTATTCCCATGGAAAAAGACTAGTGTTTTTCTGGCAAATTTTTGCTCAAAAACAAACTTTTAAATTTGACCGAATTTTTTCACTTTTCGAAACTTGAATCATACGAGTGATAGGCCTTCGTCATAGGTGTTAGCTTTCCAGTTTATTTGTAGTTCAATATATGGTACTGACATACTTTCGAGCACTGAATATTGTTGAGTGCCTCCCAGGAATTTTAAGTACAACCAGGAAACGAGGCATATTATGAAATGGGATCGGACACTGGGACAAAGCTGCAAATCATGTGGAATATAGGAACATGTATGTTTTGAGAACAAGGGAACATGCGAAATATTTTTGGACACAATGGAACAATAGCAAACTTTTTAACACAATACGGGAATATACAGATACCTCGAGCTCCCCACCCCCGCCCCTGAGGAACTCGTTGGCGAGGTTTAACTTGTAAGTTATTTCAAGATATAGACCGCACGAGTTTTTATTATGCATCGATACAGTGGCGGAAATCTTGGGGGCGGGGGGGGGGGCGACCGCCCCCCCGCCCCCAAGATTTCCGCCACTGTATCGATGTGGGGGGAAAGTGAAAGTGGGGGGGGGGCGACCGCCCCCCCCCCCCACTTTCACTGAAAATGACGAATTTTCGGAAATTTTGACCTAAAAGAGGGCTAAAAACAGCCTTTTCGAGTACAAATGGGGGAGGGGGGGGGGGCGTTGTCGGAAATTTGAAAGTTTTGTCGGAAAAATTTAGGAGGCTTTGCCCCCCCCCCCCACCAGAAGAATCGATAGGATTTCAAAGAATCGATTTTCCACCACTGCATCGATAGGATTTCAAAGTCAAGAAAAAGCTACAGGAACAAGAACAACAAATTAGCCTATACAGGAAAATAATGCACATTTTGAGCTAAAAAAGTGAGGGCTATATTTTGCTACAAATGAGTTAAAGTATATAATTTTTTCCAACATTCGCGTGTAGATTCTTGACTGAGCCCCCGATATCACGCAATAAATTCTCAGGGAAATGTTCAATTTTCTCCAGTACCGGCGTGTTTAGGCTAAATGAAATGTATTATTTTCATATTAAACACTTAAAACTGCATATTAATTTTTAACATACATATAAAATCAATATGTGTATCTAAAATATATTGTGCTTATTGCTGGTTATTACAATATTTATGTCAATTGCACTGATTGATGACAATCATATATTCTCGCGCGTTGCAATAAAATTATAGAGTTTTCTTTTAATATTTTACAGAAGCAAATGCCAAATCAAAGGTTTGTCCATCTGGTTGGATGCATCTTGTTTCAGCATGTTACCACTTAAGTACGTACAAAACTACTTGGTCTAAAGCAAGAGCAGCCTGTCAAAAACTTGAAGGAGACCTGGTTGTTCCTACGAACAGTAAGGAAAATAATGCCGTGTCGAATATTGTTAAACAAAGAAAATTGGGTCATCCCTGGATTGGTTTGGTCAGACATAAGGATAAAAAGTTTTATACCGTGCAAGGGGGGAAGCCATCTTACACAAATTGGCACCCCGCACAGCCAGATAGTCCCAACTCTGAAAACTGTGCACATTTCTATGATAGCATTGGCCGATGGAACGATATACCGTGCTCGCAACAGTATCATTTTATTTGCCAAAAACCTCCCATTAAACGTAAGTAGAGGTTTCACATCAACAGAAATCCATTCCGCACGGCAGTATACAGAGTGTATTAAAAGAGGAAATCCAACCTAGCATGTAATTTTGCGTTATAATATTCTATTTATAATTTATGTTCTTTAAGAATGTATCTAAATTTTACCTGAAATACACGTTTGCAGAAATCCTACGGTTTGCATCTTTCGAATAGTTGTCATGGAAAAACAAGCTTTTTTATTTCTTAACAAAATCGTAAAAACTGATGAAAAAATACTAGTTTTAATTACGAATTAATATTTCAATTCCAAAATATTTATGCTTAGTATGTTATTATGCGTAATATTTTCTTCAATTTAGTATAGAATACATGCAACTTACATGCAATGTTCCATGCGTGAAACGTTTTGAAATGCTTAAAAATAGGTACGCAGTGCGTACATGTTGCATGCCCTCTCTCTTCTGCAGAGGCTTTAGTTGCCCCTTCCGCCGCGCTCCTTCGCCCAGTGGCTCCGCCCATGTTCCGAGATCCGCTATGTAAAGTGTAGTGAAATGTATCTCATCGTGATAAATCATAGGACAACTAAAGCACAGAATAGAGAATGGCAGTGCCTTTTTTAAGGAATTTTCACTGGAAACATGAAAAAAGGCAAAACGAAAAATATGAGCCATCGAGGTTTGGCGAACGTGCGAGTCTGAAGAGTGATTTTGTAAAACTTTAATTTATTAACTTCACCTATATAAACAATAACTTCAACTCTTTGTAGCTATAATCGTTCAGCTATAACCAGTGGCGTAGCCAGACCTTAATTTTTTTTTTGGGGGGGGGCGAACCTCACGCCTTCGGCGTGAAACCGTCTAGGAGGGTCCGGGGGCATGCACCCCTGGGAAAATTTTGAAATCTAGGGTCCCTGAATTGCGAATTTAACTATATCTGGGGGCGATTGCCCCCCCCAGATATATAGTTAAAAAAGGCACTGGAGAATGGACCAGAAGTGTCACTCGACAAGTGCTGATGTGAAAAGACGCCATCCTGGAGTACACCACAGAAGTTTTTCATGGGTACAAACATAGGTACAAAGTGCCGTGTGCACTCCAGGATGGCGTCATAGCACATAAAAAATTTCGGACGTTTTTTCCAAGCCAAAACACATTACACATAGGAGTGTCCCTTCTGGTCTAGTATCTATTCTGTGACTAAAGCCTTCAGGGGCCAGTTGTATCAAGCCCGTTTAGCTTAAACGGTGGTTAAGCTGAAAATAGAAAGCAAGTCTATAGATCCATTCAACAACCAAACTAAAAGTTTTGAACCTTAATAGAATGATATTGTTTGTAACTACATATTCAGTGCAGAATATTTAAGCTAACTGATTCACGAGAGATATAAGAGTGTTATTTAATTTTGACTTATCCACCGTTTAAGCTAAACGTGCTTGATACAACCGGCCCCAGGCCGATTTCCATTCAGTGCAAAATATCGCAAGATCAACTTTTTGGGATAACTTTCTTTTGAAACACGTTCAGTCAACCTGATCCGTTGCGTTTGATTGCTTGTATTTCAGAAAGTGATTGCAAAATGTCGATCGCACGACATTTCGCACTGAGTGGAAATCCACCTTTATAGTGCGCAAGCGCTTATAAATTTTGGTTCAACTGGCCTGAAACTTAACATATTGATTGAATAAATTTAACATCAACATATTTATTGAAAAATAGCTATTATGTCAAAATAACAAAACTTTTTCAAACTTTTCGCGACTGTTCATCTGTAGTTGCAAGGGACGTTAATATCAAGGTCAACAGGTCAAGGTTTTATCACTGATTGACTATTCGAAGTAAACAATGTTTACATTTTCCTACAAATTTAGCTTTACTCTGGCTTACTGAAAGTATAAAAAACCGTGGAAAGCGTGAATTACTATAATGATTGAAAATAATTATTAATCTATGAGAGATCATAATCTATGATTGAAATTATCTAAGTAGAATGCTATTGTATGTATGTATTAAATTTCAGTATACAATATATTAAAGTTCATATTAATATTTACAGAATGTGATGTAGTTTTGAAATTTGAAGTTTTACACACAATATAATCAGTGCTAGCACAATGGCTTCATTTCAATTTGGGCATATAAAAAATTAAAATTCTGACAGCGTGGCCTTTCACAAACATAAACGCCTGATAATGCCGATAATTAATAAATAAATATCAGTGCCAGCACAACGGCACCAAAATAATAACAAATAACAGAATATAAGCTAAATTAAAAACAACAAAGCCTTAGCTACCTCGATCTATTTTTCTATTAAAGGCCCTAAATTCCGTAAAGAATATTTTCTTTGCGTTTCCTCGACGAAAGCCGTGAACAAAAGCGTGCATATTAGAGTTTCACTCATCACATGAAAATGCTCGTCGGACTGACTCGGTATTTGTCGTATTTTACGAATCTGTCACGTGATTTACCACCGCCCGTACGCACACCGCGACACGAAATTTAGAGCTATATGAAAGTTGCATGCCCATATATGGGCATGCAACAAAAACTAAACAGTTTTTTTCGACCCACTCCCCATGTTTGAATTTTGAAATAAAACCATATCAATCCATACAATTTTTTCATGAAGGTAAGTTCGCTCTCGTTTTTATTTAAAGTTTTTTGATAACGAAAACATAAACCTACACTGGACTTAAGCGGTGAATATACGCAGTCCTTTATTTTAACTTCAGTAAATCATGTCAACAATAATATGTCACGTGCAGGGGCTTTAAACCTGATAAAACACTCCTAATTAATATTCTTTGAATAAAGAATACAAATAAGGGAGCAGTCATTATTAATGCCGGGGGGTGTGCTGGAAGATATTTGGGGGGGACCAAAAATGTATAAACCACTTAAGGCCCGTTTACATGGGCGATTTTTGCTGCGATTTTAGTTGCGATTTTCTCCTTTTGGAGGATGTGAAAGAGTAGATTACTTAAGATGTTGTTATGAGATTTCATAATCTGGAACATTTATAACTCATCTACTCCTTCACATCCTCGAAAAGGAGACAATCGCAACTAAAATCGCAGCAAAAGTCGCCCGTGTAAACGGGCCTTTAGGGGAAGGCTACCAAAAATATCAAAGAAATGTAGGGGGGGGGGGCAAAAATAATGTATAATAATCATAAAACATCAGCAATTATTCACTGTGATATCAGATGTCAATGCTATACAGGGTGTCTAAAAAACAACGCTACGGAAATTAAACAGGCTTTCATGCATCATAAATGTGGCTAAACAATTCAATTTTTACATAGGGCGAAAGAACAGTTATTTAACTTTTCATTGATACCCTTTTTAAGTCGTAACGATGAGAAATGGCCCAACGGTGGAAGAATGTGATTTCGACCGGCAATTTTTATTTGACGAGTTTGTAGCCATTTCTCATCGTTACGATTTCAAAAAGGTGTCATAGAAAAGTTAAAATAAATAACAGCTCCTTCTTTCTATGCAAAAATCGAACTGTTTAGCTACGTTTATGATGCACAACAGCCTGTTGAATTTCCATAGCGATTTTTCTGAGACACCCTGTATAAGTATAGCTACTATAGGTAATTACAAGGGCAGGAGTGCAATTAATGACTAACACTATGAGTGGTATTTGAAAGATGTGCCGGAGTTGCACAAGCCGCCGGGGCGAGTGCAATTTGGCAATTGATAAAACTAGAATAGTGAAGCGAATAGTGCGAATAGTGCGAATAGTCGACGAATAGTACGAATAGTCCGCGAATAGTCGACGAATAGTACGAATAGTCCGCGAATAGTCGACGAATGGTACGAATAGTCCGCGAAGAGTCGACGAATAGTACGAATAGTCCGCGAATAGTCGACGAATAGTAAGAATAGTCGAAGAATAGTGAAATAGAGACTTTGCAAGGCTTTCCACCGTGCTACAGAACTAAATTTACCGAAGCGAGCGGGGGGTGGGGGGTGGCGGGGGGCTCTATTGGCAAACATGAAATCGTGAAAACATTCGTTGATGTCAATGACGTCATATGTAATCGGTAAAAATTACGGGACCACTGAGTTTTAACAAATATTTAACAGGAAGTAGAATGACAATCACTAGAATGACGTTTTCCACTGGGCGAATTTGTTCGCGCGCAGCAACAAGTAAAAGAGTAGGCTGATCCAACTTTTTCGCGGCGAATTTTCTCGCTGACCAATCACATTGCCGAAATTTGGTTTTCGCTTCGCGCGAACAAATTCGCCCAAAAACGGCTTAAATAATAAATCGATACCTTTTCTTGTTTCGTGATGTAAATCACGTTTTCCAAGCACACGAAATCACTTAAGCCCTTAAATCTTCAGTTACAACGTCACAACTTACAAGTAAAATTCCTATAAAATTCCATCAGTAAAATTCATGTGACTCGCTCATATGGTTACCACTTACCATCAGGAATGATTATAAGTTTAAAAATTATGAAATATATTTCCTGACGATGACTGAATTTTAGTGGAAACACGTTGGTCAAATTTAGCAAAATTTCTCCCACTTGTGCGGGCTTGTATTGTCAGCGGACATCTTACAGAAAGTGGGCAGTTCTGTGCAAAATGCAAAAGTTTCAATTTTTCACAAGTTCGCTGAAAATGCGAGCGTGCGGTACTGGGAGAAAATTTGCTGAATATGATCAGCGGGAAAGTTACAATATTAAAATGTTTATTTTCGAGGTTACCGTTGTTTTATATTTTATTTCAGTGGTTCCCATAATTTTTACCGCTTACGAATGACGTCATTGACGTACGTCAACGAATGTTTTCACGATTTCGTGTTTGTCAATAGAGCCCCCCCCCCGAAACATTTAGTCTACAGCACTGCTGCAAAGCCTTACAAAGTCTCTATTGCACTATTCGTCGACTATTCGTACTATTCGTCGCTTATTCGCGGACTATTCGTACTATTCGTCGACTATTCGCGGACTATTCGCACTATTCGTCGACTATTCGCGGACTATTCGTACTATTCGTCGACTATTCGCTTCACTATTCTAGTTTTATCAATTGCCAGTGCAATTTGGCACATTTTTCCAAATATGACGAATAGTTGCTGCGGAGCGAGCGAGCTTGAAGCGAGCGAGCGAGCATAGCACCAACCTAATATATGCAGAGAGGGGGTTTTGAACTAAATTTTTGTAAGCGCATGGAATTGTGGTCGTGCGCGCATTCTATGCGC